CAACACATCGGACTGTAGCAGGGTAATTTCTCAACACATCGGACTGTAGCAGGGTAATTTCTCAACACATCGGACTGTAGCTGGGTGATTCCTCAACGCACTTGAGATTTGAAAGTATCTGGTTTTTTTTTATATCATTTATGACTAGCTGGGTAATACTTCAACACATCTTACTGTACTTGATGATAAATATATATACATATATATATATATATATATATATATATATATATATATATATATACATTGAAAGGGAGTTTCTGCAGGCAGGGTTCGAACCCCGGACTTTTAAGACGATAGTTTTGAGCGCTTTACCCACGTCCAGGCAGTCTTCGTATTGTAAGCGACCTCTTGTGCTGTAAGCGACCTCTTGTGCTGTAAGCGACATCTTGTGCTGTAAGCGACCTCTTGTGCTGTAAGCGACATCTTGTGCTGTAAGCGACATCTTGTACTGTAAGCGACATCTTGTAAAGTCAAGAAAGTATTAATTGTTTAAAATCTTCTTTGACATAAGTTCCAGACTGAACCTGTCTGCAAGATTTGCTCTGACGACACCAAAAGTTACATTTCTCAAGGAGTAGGCTACACGAAATGTTGCAACTATTGTTTAAATAATGAGCAAATGAACGACTCCCTATAAGAACTATTCAACCATTCGTTTGATGAATAGCCGCGTCTTAGATACACTTGAACGCTTTAGTTCTGATTGGTCCCTCACGCTTGTTTTGTTTCTATTGACCCAATTAAGAAAGGGGTGTGGTTGTTCAAACTCAAATGACGTCCCTTTCTGAGCGTGACACTTGGTCTCGCTAACACAGATAAAGATTTAAGAACACAAACAGCGGTAATATGAATAATATTTGTTCTTTAATATTATGTCTTTGCACTGTAGTTTGATTGCTGTTGAATCAATGTTGCTGAATGATTGCTGGTAAAGAAATAATAAACTATTCAACTAATTGAACTAAGAAGGGGCCGACCCTAATTATTTCGGGGACCTATGCAAAATGGGGCCCAGTTTGGGTAGATATAAGGATAATAAGTTAAAATTAAGATTGTTTTACAATTTTATTCAATGAAAAATGACAATTCCCCCCCCCCCCCTTTTTTTTTATCGCGCGTAGGATCGGCGTTTTCCAGATTGAATGACCATTTTGTCTATTTTGCAGGAGAGTTTTATGAGTTTTCAGAAGATTTTAATAATTTCAGGAACTTTTCCGCAGTTTTTCGTATATTTTGCAATTTCGGATATTTCAAGGAACTCCTTGAAAATCGCGAGAATCCTGGTATAAGTTATAATGGCTTAATTTAATAATTTACACCTAGAATTAGCACGGGGTCTATGAAAGTGGGGGCCCACTGCGCCCGCATTGGTTGCAGTGACCTAAACCCGGTCCTGGAGCTAAGGGTACATTCTAATAAAGTCTTAAAATGTACATTAAATATAGTAGTGGACTTATGACTGTTCCTTGAGGTACACCTGAGTTTACTGTTAATGGTGTCAATTTCGAGCCATTTATTACTACAGTTTGTTCTTCCCCTATCAGAAAATCCTTAATCCACCGATGCAATGGACCAGAACTTAAGGACTGTAAGACATATCTTGAAATCGTCTATTTACACATAATAATGATAATATAAAAGATTAAAATAATAATTATTTTTTTGTGTGATTAAATCTCTACAAATGATATTATGGACATTACGAAATTGTAAATAAAATAGTTATCTATATAAGGTTTTAATGCGTTTATTACATTTTTTCTCTCCAGAAAATAGGACCCTATGAAATTGCCAAGACAGTCACTAAGTGAAACGGATTTGTCTAAAACCTTTTACTGTAACTTCAATGGGATATTTCACTTTGGATAACGGATTTGTCTAAAACCTTTTACTGTAACTTCAATGGGATATTTCACTTTGGATCAAGTATTTAAACAGACTCATGGCTACTTTATTTTAGAAGCGTAACTTTGGAGGTTCACTTAGAGGATTAGTTGAAGGATTAGAGACACAAAATGGTGGACCCAGTTGTGTCGTCACGTTTCGGCAAAAGACCTCTGCTGGACATCCCAGCCATGCAGGTGTCTGGACACAGAGGGATCGAGGTTCCGTCTCTGCAGTCGCCCATTTACTCGGCCATCAGCGCCAACCCTTTTCCTAACACTTACAACCCTATGTATGGACCTGGAGTTTACAACCAACAGCCTGGATACATGACCACTGGGGGCTTGATTCCACCGCGCCCTGCTCCTGCCATACACATTGACAGAAGACACCACTCAGCGCCCCAGATGGGCTTCTACAACCCGCCACCACCTCGGCAGTACTTCTATGGGCCCAACGGTGAGGTCGTTCAGCCGGCGCCCTTTTACAACCCCCAGGGGATGTACCCTGGCGTTGCGAACCCTTACCCTGTACAAGCGCCAATACCGGTACCGGTTCGCATGCCGTACCCGTCTTACGGACCTTTCAATCCTGGTTTCAATATAACATGTGACCTGGAGTTTGGACGCGTCACAAACATTAACGTTAGAGATTCAATGGGCGAGTTCAGGGGCATTCCAGACTTTCTGCGAGAGGAACTCATGAGAACATATGGGAAATTTCCGTTCACGGAAGTGAAAGTAAAACTGGAAAATGGAGAGTTCCACATTTACGCCACGCACGAGCGTCGCAAGAAACAACAGAGGCGTCGTCGTAGGGATCGAGACTCTGACGTCGACAGCGACTCCTTTTACGACGACGACGATGACGACCAATGCATTCGTTTCGATCCCACATACAAAAGCGATATCGACTCCTACACAAGTGGCGTTCGGCCCAGAAGACCAGGAGACAGACCCAGAGGAATCGTCCACGAAAAAGGATGGAATCGATACCGATAAGACATTGTTGAAAGGCATCGAATCCAGCAATATGAACAAGAATAACATTGTAGATTAATTACTAAAGCAGATCCGTGCAGAGTTATTCTTTCTATGCTGTTTTGATCGATTCTGTTTTTATTACAAAAGATAATCAGGTGAAGCTCACGTTGCCTGGTATTGCTTTTTCATTCCAAGCAAGATCAGTCTTAATTTAATTCAGTGCTGCTGTGATTGGTGTAGTGCAGTGGTTCTCGGGCCCTATGAACCCCTTCCCTTTCACACACACAAAGACGCAAACACACACACACACCGACGCAAACATACACTCTATAAGTTACTTTCCTTTCTTTTAAATATATTGACGACTTTAAACTTTACTAGAAGAAAGAGAGCTCTACAATAATGAACCACGGGATTAACGTCTTTTCGTCGGGATAAAAGGAGATTTTATAATCAGAAGTCTGCCGTTGTCTCCCCTTACCCAGCAAATTAAAAAAAAAGTATTTTTATGGCACCACAGGACTATCGTTAACCTAAAGAATGAATAGAATAATAAACTAGAAATCAATGCACTGCAAGCGATGGAATGTATAACTTCTAGGTCTTTAAAATAAGATGACTGCCTTCTGATCAATATTGTTAAAATTTGAGTGTGTTAGGTGCCAATCAAATATGCTGTACGACATTTTAGTGTGACAGTTGATTGGGTTTTGTGACAGTTGATTGGGTTTGTGTGATAGTTGATAGGGTTGTCTGACAGTTGATTGGGATTTGTGACAGTTGATTGGGTTGTGTGACAGTTGATTAGGATTTGTGGCAGTTGAATGGTTTGTGTGACAGTTGATTGGGTAGTGTGACAGTTGATTAGGTTGTGTGACAGTTGATTAGGCTCTGTGGCAGAGTATTTAGAACTAACGTACCTACAGGTAAACTATTTGTTTTGTCTTTTTTTTTTATAAAGAACAACTTTGTTTTTATTAGCAACAGTGAAACAAAATAGATTCTTATCGGTCTAGTTTGTTGAATTTACTTTGTCGTATTGAATATTTTATCTGGCAAATATATATATAGGTCAAAGCTAGGTCTGCGTTGCCACATGCAATTCTAGACTAGACATAAACTTGAAGTCAATGTATTCTAACCTTTTTTTCTATTGTGTAAAGCAGCGATGCTCAACCTAATTCGCCCTGCGGGCCATTTTTATTTCCGACCCTCGTGTCGCGGGCCACATGAACGAAAAAGTAACGAATTGAAATTGACTTGAATTTGAAACTATTTGATTTGAAACCATTGGATCTAGTACTAACATTAATGAATTGGATATTTAAACTTATCTTTTTTTTCACGAGCTTTACAAAGACTCATTTTCTCTTTTGAGTAAATATTCCCATCGATCCTCCAATCTGTAGGTGTAGTTAAACTATCTTTTATTCGCGGCTTAAATCAAGATTGTCGCCATATTTGTTTTCTAACTCGGTTTTCATGTTTTTCTTCTTAAAACAGACGCACATTTTCTTTACAAATCAAATATGCTGGCTTATTATCATGTTCCACAAAAAGTAAAGGTCTGTTAACTTTTCCTGGTAGATTCTAGGCCTACATTTATTAAGAGTACAAATATTAAAGGTCATGGTACCAATTAATCAAATAAAAATTGAGGGCCCAAACGTAGGTAAAGATACATAAGTCAACATTTTTTTGGATGGGGGATTTTCTATACTTTGTTCCAACATTTCGGAGGGCCGGATGGAACCATGTCGCGGGCCGTATTTTGGGCATCACTGGTGTAAAGTGTTGAAGTTTAAACATCAAGCTATACATTAGTAGCTTATAAAAATGCTATTAGAACTAAAACTATTGTAAATGTCTTAAGATTTGTTTTTCAATTTTGCGTTAAAATCTTTGATTAGTATTTCTCGAAGTATCTATTTTGACACACGTTCCTTGTTTTATTTGGCCTCTAATGTTGTTAGGTCTTGATGTTGGCCTATGTTCCATTAATGTGTTTCAATGGTTTTTCAGGAGTGATTGTGTATTTGCAGTGCAATAGTCTACTATCATAAATGTTACACTTTGTTTGTTTTTTTTTATCTTTAAATCAGTAGTAAATGTGTTGGTCGGTTGTCGTAAATGTGTTGGTCGGTTGTCGTAAATGTGTTGGTCGGTTGTCGTAAATGTGTTGGTCGGTTGTCGTAAAGCCAATCTGTGTATATGGTCGACTGTTAACAAGGGTATCATGTGTCCTGCACAACAACCAACCGCCTTTATTTCCCCAATGTAAGCTCGTTATTTAAGTGCACTCATGAAGCTTCTAAATGTGTACTCAAGGGGATTCTAAATGTGCAGTCAGGGGTGTTCTAAATGTGCACTCAGGGGGCTTCTAAATGTGCACTCAGGGGTGTTCCAAATGTGCATTCAGGGGTGTTCTAAATGTGCACTCAGGGTGTTCTAAATGTGCACTCAGGGGTGTTCTAAATGTGCACTCAGGGGTGTTCTAAATGTGCACTCAGGGGTGTTTCAAATGTGCACTCAGGGGTGTTCCAAATGTGCACTCTGCGGTGTTCTAAATGTGCACTCAGGGATGTTCTAAATGTGCATTCAGGGGTGTTCTAAAAATCTTTTGTTTATAATTCGTACTCTTCGCTGGAAGCCGGAAGCCGAGCGTTTTACCACTCGAGCATGTCCCACAAAGTCACTTCGTTATAAAATCTTTATTTTTTGTTACTTTCTTGTTTCAGTTAGATCTGTTTAAACCGAAATGTATGTAAGTTATTTTTTTCATGTGATATTGTATAATAATAGGTTCTATATATGTGTGTGTGTCAATATTTAACCAAATAACTGCAATAGTGTTTTTAGATTGTTATTTTCATGTTTCTTATGTAACATTATATCAAGAAATAAAATCTTTCAATGAAAGATTATCTTATTCTTTAAAACCTTTGATCTGGGTATTGTAAAATTAATATTCATACACAAATAAATGTATATATATATATAATATTTTTCAGTGACCATTTAGACCTTTTACTTATATATTTGATATCAAATTGTCGTATATAAAATATAACATAAAAAAACGAAGAGTATTTTCGACGTAATTTTATTGCAAAATCTCTAGACGCCACGCGCTCGTCTTGTGACTTCACGTGGACATTAGTCATAATCTCGTTCTCTGAGTAGTTTGTGTATCAACTGCAAGACGTCACTCCTTGACGTCTGCCCATCGAGGATCATGTCCCCTTGCTTGGTGCATCTCTCATTTATTGCACACGACCCTTCAAAAACAAAAGACGAAAAGAAAATATAAAATATTATATATTTTATTATTAAATTATTATTATATTATTATTATAAATATTAACAAGAAAGAAAAAAAATTCTTTAAAAAATGGGAAAGAACTCCACATTTACAACTATATATCTCAATATTGGAGAAGTTATTTCCCTTTATCAAAAAATCATTACCAATCATTAATTGACTAAATAGTTAATTTATAATTGATTCATGTCTTGTTAGGTACAATACATAATTCTTTTAAAGTTTAAACTTGATTCGAGAATGGGTGGGGGGAGAAATAACTTGTTTTTGTGGACGGTCGTTGACTTGTAGCACCATGGCAATTGGGGGAGGCAGGGTACAGCACTTCGACTTAATAGAAAATGTTTTCTGTGTCAGCTGGAAGGTTATCGAACAGACTGAATTGAAAGCAAGGAAATCTGGGTTTCAGACTGTCGAGAGCCACTGATTTTGCGCCTGATTCGACGCCATGTAACCAAATACGACACCGAATAGTAATTTCCTAACATTTATTAATGTTTACATGCATGCTTGAAGAATTAAAAAAAAAACATGTGGTCTGTAGGGCAGATGATGTAAAGATTATCTGTTTCTTTGGCCTACAGTTAACGAGGGTGTCATGTGGCCAGCACAACGACCAACCGCTTTTACTTTCCCCAACTAATGCCAGGTACCCATTAGAGGCACCCAAAGATCATGAGATTAAAAATCCAAGTCTTCACCAGGATTCGAACCCGGAATCCCCAGTTCAGAAGTCAAGCGCTTTGCCTCTCAGCCACTCAAAGACATTCTACTGCCGAAGATAGAAGTCAAAAGAGTGCTTAAATATTCCCCTTGTAGACAATGGCTTCGTCTGCGTTAGAGTGATCGAATATATAGCTTACATATGGGTCGCTGTTAAAGAGCAATTTTTCAAAACAACTCACCAGAATCGCAGCAAATTCCATCCGCCACACAGTACCCGCTGTCTCGGGCCCCACAGACTTCGCCTCTAACCAAGCAAGGCGTCGAAACCTGGTTCTCTTGTTGACACACCACTGTCTCCGCTGTCCCTATCAAGCAGCCGAAGTCTTGACCACAGCAGATTTTGGGTCCAACACACTGACCTGAGTTGTCCGGTCCACACTTCATACACTAGATAGTAGAAGAAGAAAGACACAATAGCGTATTATTTACCGCATAATATAAATAGGTTTTATTTTTCAATTCATAGTATCGCCAATAACTTACATTTGAAAATCTAGGCCGCACACGTAAACAGTTATCTTATTGTAAAGATGTCTTGGTAACCAAGTGGTAAAGCGCATGGCTTTTGAACCGAAGAATGAGAATTGAGCTTCGGGATTTTTCGAACGCCCCCAGCCGACCCAATTCTAATGGGTAACTGACTTGGTTGAGGAAAGTAAAGGCGGTGGTAAAGCCCTTCCAAACCAGAGGATCCCGGTTTGAATCCTAGTGAACGCTTGGATTTTTAATTTTGGGATCTTTAGGGCGCCTCTGAGAGCACCCAGCTCTAATGGGTAACTGACATTAGTTGGGGAAAAGTAAAGCCAGTTGTCGTCATGCAGGCCACATGAAACCCTCGTTAACCATGGGCCATAGAAACAGCCTTTACACCATCTGCCCAATAGATCGCATGGTCTGAAAAGGGAACTTTTAAATTAATCTTTTCATTTTGTAAGAACAAAAGTTTTTTTTTTTTTTTTTTACAAGACTAACTCTGTCTGTTACAAATCTTATACACGTTGTTTCTGCCACAGTTATGTATTGTCGTAAACAACACACGAACCAATACAAAATAAACCAATTATATAGACAAAGGATGTTATCAGTGTGTCTTCAAAAGGGTATATTTATTTATATTGTAGTGGCCTAGTTAAGTTTAGAGATTGTTAGTTTCGTAAATGAATAGATCTACATCGTGCATTGTTTTTAGCGATGGTAAAAGTAGTGACGTAGACAGACAAATGACGTAGACAGAATACGCGTACATGATCGGAGAAGAACAGGGCTGTGTAGAAGGATGTATATTGAATAGACTGTTTATTAAACGACGGATAGAGAGACAAGACGATCCTCCCCATCTGTAAATAAACATCAGTTGAAGTCTTCACAAATTTTGTGTTAAATTTAATTGCTGTGTCCCTTGGATGTGTTCGGACTCGCATTAGAAAAAAATGAAGAAATTTCAGACAGCAAACAAAATCCAAAAGCCCGGACAATAGTCACATTTTTTTTTCATCTAGAACTCTTATGATAAGCTACGCGTTATTTTTTTCACTTTACAGCACCATAGCATTATGAACCTAGTTGATGGAACAACACAGATCATTTATTTTGGGCGCGAACGCACGCATGCAAGCACACACACACAAACAAAACATAACATTCACATGTGTAATTGAAAAGGGAAATAAGAAAGATGACAGAGAATTGATAGTATTAATTCGATTACTACCCTTGTCTAAATTACTAGTCTTACGATAAAGAAAACAAAAAGAATGTGTTGGAATGATTATCACGCTCCACTCCAGTGGTCCTCAATCCATACACACAAGGGCGGACTGGGTGTCAAAATCGGCCCGGGCCTTTCTATACAATTCGGTACACAAGTTCTATATCATATGATGGACCTCCAATTCTAGGTCTAGCTGTTTTCGAAATCATGCTGACAGTGACCTCTATATCTATATAAGAAATAAAAACCTTATGTTACTTTTGAATCGCTTTGTATGTAAGCCCTAAAAGGATGAAGCCAACTAGTGGCACTGTCTACGGATGAAGGTTATTGCATTATTTTGGAAAATGTTCAATTAAACTAGTAGGCTATTACACTGTACAGTCTGTGCAAGATTTTTTTTTAAACATTACGTTCAGAGGGGCCTTTTTAGATGAGAATAGTATAAAACCTTTAACAATTTGCTATGTACCATAGTGGCATCCATGTGGTCCTACGGTGGCCCTACCGGCCCATTTGGGCACCGGCCCAACGGGCATTTGCCCGATTGCCCATATAGCCAGTCAGCCCCTGCATACACACCTCAATACACATTGAGGAGATTAAAACGTATCCTACTCGTAACAATCACACATACACTATTTGTTCCCCGTTATGCTGTAGACAGTTTTATTTTTCTAGATCCATTGACCGTCTCGCCGAGTACTTCCAGGGTACAAGTAGCAAGCGTTGAGAAACATCTCTCTTTAAAATGAACACGAGCAGCCAAGTGACGGGATTTAAAAAAAATTTGTTAATGGGATGACACAGACGCTCTGGCCGGAGCACCGATTCCAATTTTCATGGCGAAAATGTGCTGTGTGTGGCAGATAGATCCAAAAGCGCTTGTCTACGGCTTGGCCACATGACAATAGCGCTCCAGTTCGAAAACCGACTTGAGCAGAGTTGCATTTGCTGAGCGCCTAAAAATGTCCCCATTCAAACCTTGCCATCTACGGGGCTGATGATATAAAATAATACAAGTCTTCAGTTTCTGTGGCCGACGGTTTACGACGGTGTCATGTGGTCACCACAGCGACCAACTGCCTTTACTTTTCCCAACTGATGTCAGTCATCATCGACACACTTCACTTATTCTTAGTAATAGGATGGACTCAAACATGCTATATATTGTGTTTAACAGTCCAGCAATAGGTGAAATCCATTTTACAAGAATCAATGCTAACACACTATTTTGTAACATTTTAGCAATGCAGGTCTTTTAGAACAGAATTTTTATTTATGGTTTCTAAAAATACAACCTATTCAAGGTTTTAAAACACAGCCTATTCAAGTTGTATACAACCTATATACAACTTTGACAACGGAACCATGGGTATTTAAAAACAAAACCTCTTCAAGATTTATGCACCCTATATATATATAGCCTACAACTTAAGAAAACCGAACCATGTGTTTCTAAATACAATCTATTCAAGGTTTCTGAAAATATAAACCTATTCAAGTATTACGAATGTACAGAATCTATAATATTCTCGTAAACTATCTAATCTAATCTTACAAAATACAGACGTTACTTCAAAAAAAGAAGATGATTACGTCCTACGCGTCA